CCCCAAAACAAAATAAAACAAAACAAAAAGTCTTTCAATGCTCACCGTTCAGGCAGCAAGAGCAGCACGAGTGAATGGCATCAGCTGGGAGAGGTGGTGGCAGCCTGGACAGACAGGAGAGCTGCGTGCCTTCCTCTCTCACCCTGTCCCCGGCTGCCTCCCCAGCACAACTGGCACCTCGGGCACCACATTTGGCACTGCTCGCTGGTCCTGTCTCACCTGGTAACAAAACTACTCGGTGTGCAAATAAAGGGGCTGTGCAGGGCTCGCCGTAGGGACATCTGGTGGGGGACAGAGCAAATTACATCCTCGTTTGGAAAGGGGTTCCCTCTCTTACACACGTGTGCAACTCAGTCGGTAATATCTACATAATGAGGAAGGCTTGAGTCACATCACATGCCTAAACTGCATCTTGAAATGTCTAGTATTTGGCATTTGTTTCACTCATATCAGTAGGGCATTTACTGGGCCGACACATTATGCTTCTCCAACTGGTGTTCACTCTGATGGAGCATTTATTTTAAAGGTCAGCACGTTCTCCCCTCTTCCACAAAACCTGCCATGTTTAATGTAGGGATAACAGGGTGTGCATAGTGCCCTTCATTAGAAGCTTCTAGAGGCTGTATTACATTAGAAGTGAGTGCATTTAATTTACTGACAAGTTGTTCAAATTATTCAAATTCAGCAATGATTTGATTGTGTTGGAAGACAGTACAGAGAGTGCAGATGGTGAGAACAGATGTGATACCCCAAAACAACTAGTTCTGAGGACTCTGCAACCACACTGCATGTGCTTGGGAGGGGATTCCTTCAGACCAACTGGTCTCACAGACTGAATGTCCCTTCATGGACAGAGAGTATCTTCCACTTGACTCAGCCTGCTTGCAAGAGTTCTTTTTTTCCAGTATACTGATCCTGTTAACAGCAGTATTCCTTGAAATCCCTTTCCAACAAGGACTCTGGCAGATGCAGTATTCAATTAGAATTATGAAACAAGGGTTTTTTAACTTGAAGGCCAAATGAAGTCAGCAGAACACAGTGGCTACACCACTCAGRTTTCTTAACACTGACCAATGCATTTCACTCAGCTACAGCCACAGACACACAGACTGCAAGATGGTTTGAAAGTAACTGGTATGGACCCTGGAAAGTTGGCAGCTAGAGGACTACTAGGAAAAGATTTCAGAGTCCCTGGAAGCCTACTAGCTGTGACAATCAAAGTTTTGATTTACACCTACAACACACCCATACTAACARGTTCAGTGGGCATTGAGTGACCAGCACCAGACAGGATCAGCAATGATCAGGTGCAGGTGTCTCTGAGCATTAAACGTTTCACAACTGGCAAAATTCTTTCTCTCGTTAAAGAGATGGAGATGCCTGGAATAAGCCTATATAGTGATCCTCCTTTTCTGGATTCCTTTGGCATACCCAGTTGTAGCAGTGTCCCATGGTGCTCCTACTGGAGGAGGTAACTCATCTGAAGAATCTGGGTTTGTGTCACTGGATTGCATCAGAAAATTAAACTGCAAGCTTCTGCTGGAGTTCCCTTTTTTTAATCTTTTTCTAGAAAACAAGTATAAAAATATTCCAGAAAGAAATGCAGTGCAAAGAATGTTGTATGCTCAAAATCAGAGCAAAAGAGGATAATAAATATAGCAAAAAAATGTAATAAAATAATAATTTCTGAAAGATAATTCACATTTATGGTTCCACACAGTGGCACAGTTTTACTGTGGGACTACAGCACTGTCACATTTCAGTACCCCTGACTGTTTCAGAGGGAGTTTTTGCTGGCTGTAGTGACAGCTGACAGTGGTCAGATGAAATAGAAAAGGTCTTTGACAATCATGTCACCATTCCTGAGCCTGATGTCATCCCCCTGTGAAATTTCTGCTATCAATATACCAGTCTGAATAATCTTTGGGATAAGCCCTTCAGGCTGCAATTTCCCAGCATCTTAGTTTTCGTTGGCATGTGGTAACGCATATATTTCCAGAACTTGGTGTGTGGAGCAGCGGAAAAGGAAGACTTCCAGGTAAYGATTGGTAAAATCCGAAGTGCTTTCTTCACTACTGGAGGCAAAGTCTCTGGCTCTTGGAAATCCTGGAACTTTATTAACACTAGTTTGATCCTTTTATCTTCCAACGCACAGTTCACTGCTGCCTGCAGTTCAAAGATGCTTGGTCCACTGACATAGGCTGGGCTCAAAATAATTATTACCCGTCTGCTTTGTTTAATAGCTGTTACAACTTCATCTGTGTATGCTGSAGAGGAAATGGTGAGAGTTATTGCATTCTACAATGGAGTTTTTATAACATCAATTCCTTTATCAACAGCTAAAACCCAAGGAAAGCCAAGAACAGGAACACTGAGCAATCACACAACCCCCAGAAATGTGTCTGCTACCAGAGGGTTCCACGGCTGTTTGTATATAACTGAAGAACACAACTTTCTGCTTGGGAGATGAAGGGAGCAGCTGACACCTCAACTGGCTTAGGCAGGGTCTAGAGGGATGCTTGGACTTGTCATTATCTCTCCCAGGAACAGATACTCAGGGCTTTCTAATTACTGCAGCTAGCACTGACTAAAGTTGCTCAGGAAGTAACTACTGAAATGTTTGAGGTCTCCTTTCCAGAGAATGGAAATTTCATCTCAGCCCAGGAGCTTCCAGTGACCTCACTCCAAAGTATGCATGCCTCAGCCACAGGGACCAGATACAAAGATCAAAACATTATGAGATTAAAGAATTCATTCACTACCAAATTACACAATTTGTTGCTCTGGTGCATAAGGTTTTTTTGGAGAGTGAAACACAATTTTATAAAAATTGAAGATTTTCAACCATCCCCAAGGACTTTACCTCCTCCTGGAAGAATATCCCTTTCCAGAATACATAACTTGTAGCCATATTTGTTTTCTAGCATATCTGGAAGAAGCTCCAGGGCAAATTTTTCCTCACTAATTAAAGGAGAGTCACTCTCAGAAGAGTCCAGTTTTGCATAGGACACAAATGCATCAAATTCCTTGCCATCTAAAACAAATAAATGAACAAATAAATGAACAAATAAATAAATACATAAATAAATACACCGTATACATTAACAAATCTGGCTGAAGCATTTAGCTTCTTTCTTAATGCTCAGTTTCCATCTATTTCTATTTAAGTAGGCACAACACAAACCTAAAATTATGACCTGCTCGTGGATTACAGCTATCCAGTTWCCTAAGACAACCTTCCTCCTCACTGTCTTGAAAGTTTTGTAGACATATGCCTCCAAAACAAATAAGGAAACTACAGATGGTCAGTGCAAGGTAGTTAAAAGATCTGGTCCCCTCCAGGCAAAAGCTCCTTTTAAAATACAATGAATCTTGAAGGAACAATGTTCTTAAATATTACCTGCTTGCAAAAGACATGCCGACTTCATAGACTGTGTAAACAGAAATTTGTGTAAGGTGCAAAACATAAGTCTGATCAAAGTATCAGCTCAAACAGCAGGTACTGCCCAGTTGTTGAACTTTGTTTAAGTCTCATTAAAAGGATGTTTGTAAGGTGCACATGGGTAAAGAATTTTTCTTAGCTTTGAGTCACCCTAGTAGCAATGTCCTGAGTTAGACCCATTTTTAACTGCAAGGCAAAAGCAATTGTATCTATTTGCTGAACAAAATCTGAAGTACTCTTAAAGTGGTAACATTTAAAAAAATAATTTCTGGTGAAAACAAAAGGTACAGTGGACCCAGTCCAGTTTCCCAGTTGCTTGAGGGCATTTAAGGCTAGATTTGACAAGGGAAGTGTTGGAGACTCAATTCTTTTGGAATGGCAGGACATCCTCAGGCAGCTGAAATTACATCGGACACGTATGTTCAACTAGCTGAGCTGTATCACATGTCAGTATAGTGAGAGAAATGAACCTATTTAGAGCAGGGTCCCACTGCAGGGTACTGCAGCAGGTTAAGCTGACAAGCCCTCTAGATTTCACCACACTGACCGTACCTTCACTGCCTGGGAAATGAGACACCTTTGTCCAGCACAGACACCTAAGTGTTGAGTACCATGACCTACACACCTCGATGTTAACATCCTGATTTCTATCCCTAGGTGTAAGATTAGGGTCACAGATATGAGCTACAGCCACCAAGTTCCCACAGGATCTGGAAAAGCACATCTGTAAAGCAAATTCAGGAAACTAATATGGATGAGGCGGGCTGAACGACAATATACAGAACCAGCACATAGCAGGAAGCATGTCATCAAAACAAAAGAGAAGTGTGCAGGTTAGGTTTGGGGCCAAGAATGGGATCAGACAACACAGGTTGCATCTCTGTTTCTCCCCTCTGCTCCTGGACACACACTTTTCAACCACATCCTTCTACTGGTGCTGAAGCTCTTGTGATAACAAGGAAGATTATTCATTTTGCTGGCTACTAATTTTCTTTTACTGAGTTATTTTTCTGCCAAGTTGAGCCAATTTAGGCCCACAAGAGTGAATGAATAACAGCAGGTACACAGGACTAATGGGGGAATTAAAGGTGGGACAGAGGGTCACTAGATTGGTTTAGCTGAAATTCAATTCATCTATACCCTAAACTAAAGCTCCTTTAAAAATAGATTTTAAATAACAATAAATTGCACTACAGCCAGGTGTTCCTCATTCAACCCACAGA